ATCATCATCATCATCATCATCATCATCATCATCATCATCATCATCATCATCATAAAGATCATTCGTGTACCGCCTGATCCCGTGTACACACAGCTCTCGGTGCTTTACATAAGGGGGTAAATGTTGTCCTGGCTTGTTATTCCAAGAAGTTTTCAAAGACATCGCTTGACAGCAGCCAGCTGTTGTTCTTTTTCTTTTTTTTTTCAAATATTATACAAGACGACTGAGGACAACGTTCCTATGGTTGTTTCCGCAAGCCTGTATTTTACAGTCAAGTTACAGAGTACAACATGTATTTACTGAAGGTAGAAAAACGCTAATAATCGTAGACGCTCTGCATTAGTTGCAACAGGATAACTTGTCTGTATACATGCTTGGTGGTTTGTCGATACTTTAGTGTTACAAAGTTCTATCTGCACATAATCTATTTTTGAGAAATGTGACGACAAAAAGTTTGAGTTTCACAACATATCAAGTTTTTCGACGGCATTACTTTGAATATCTTGGTACGAATCCGGATAATCTTGATATTTTGAAAGAGCAGATAGAACATTTGATTTCTGAACTCCTGGTCTTAGTAACCCATATCAGCCAAAAATGTCGAATAGAGCTTTGTAATTCTAAGGTAGCGTGGCCTTCTAGAGCATTGTGGAGGGAGGGAGGGAAAGGGGGGGGTCAGAAATACTGGTAAAGGTTTTGAACAATTTACGTTGACGACTGGGATTTTATAGACTGGGCCAAAATGAGATGTCGGAAAATAGCACTAATTTGCTGTTTTTACTATTAAAAATACGTAATTCGATACAATCAATCCACACATGTGTATCCTTGCCGTGAGGTGAGAGTCAGTATTTAATCGCCCTGTGTTTGGCAAAGAGGTAAGCAAGAACAAAGCGATGTGCCAATTACAAAAAGCAAGATTGTCATGATCTTCTTGTACAAAAACCCAGCAACGTAAATGAGAACCTAATCGTGAGATTCTGACAGCGCTAAGATTAAACCTCATGAACTTCAGCAATACCACATGCTTATGTCAGTGACCTTCTAATTGACGAAAATAAGTTTAGATTTAGCTTGACAGTTTACTTTTGTCTGTGGTGTAGTAAGTAGGCGGTTTGCCGTTGCACACAAAGGACCCGAGATTGATTCCCGTATGGATAGAATGTTTATGAACTATCCCAGTCTGTCCACTGAGACTTTGTATCCCCTTAAGCCCAAGCTAGCTTTGACGGACGAGCAAGGTTGAAGCTCGCCTCCTCAATTATCTAAGCTGTGTTAATGGATCGTAAGAACGCCTACATTAAGAATAATTAATTGGAAACAATATAAAATTATTAACTAGATTTTTTTACGGAGCATCTTTATGTGTATTTTAGGACAATTCGGACTCAGATTAAGTCTCGTAAAATTGGGGGCTCTTGGGGACATCTGACCTCATCATTACTATGCTCCACGGTCTGTGAGGGGGATAAAGTTAGGAAAACACTGCAATAGCTATTTTGGAATGTGTCTGTAAAAGAGTTATTATAGTATAGAAAATACACAAAGGGGGTGGGAGGGGAATTAGATGCTGTCGTTTGTACCCGTGACTGTATTGGTAGGATGGCTCTTAGGGCTGGTTAGACTGTTTTTGGAAAAACAACAAAAGTTCCAACAAATTCCAGTTCCGCTCTTTCTGGAAAAGTGCAGATTACTAGATTCTACTCTATTTGTATACTGTTATTGTCTTCGTCTTTGAAAATGTTTGAGAAACTAATAACAACAAACATGATTCAAATTCATTTTAGTTTTTTTAGTTTTAGTAAGAGTATTACGGCCCTTGCAACACAATAAGATCATATAAGTGCCGAAGATTAGAGGTGTTACAAGAGAGTAACAAACACAAAAAAGGAGGGGAGATAGAGATGATAGATTTTTTTAGAGGAAAGGAGGAGCAAACCACACCAGAGCACCCGCCAACCACCCACTCAAATTTATTTGATCGTTGAATTACGAGTAAAAACCAGCGTCTGTTGTAGCGGTGAAGCGTTCCGTCATCCACGTAGATGAATTGAGTTCTATCCCAGTGTGGGGAGGACTTTTATCGAGTACGGTTTCTTGCTCATTCTACTGAAACATTGAATCGCTTTCAGCCTCTGACTTATTTAAAATGTGTCGATGGGGACGTAAAATACTTACATTAAAAAAAAAAAAGAAATGCAAATAAAATTTGATTTTGAAACACAAATTTTATTGAAGCATGGAACGAACAAAACATAGACAATGAAAGTTCAAGTTGTGTATTAATAAGGCACTTTGCATGAAGCCCACAAAAAAGAGTTATGAGTTAACTCCTACACATCAGCGCATGCGCAGCTCTAATAGTAGTAGTTACAAATTAATTGCTTTAATTCCTTATGTTGTTTTCATATGTATAATGTCCAGGATTAAAGCTTCAAAGTATAACAACAATAATAAAAATAGGAATAAGGATAGTATCTCTCTCTCTCTCTCTCTCTCTCTCTCTCTCCAACTGTCTCTCTTTCTCTCTCCCACACTTTCATTCGGTCTCTCTCTTTCTTTCCCCCCGCCCATCTCTCTCTTTCTCTCTCTCTCTCTC